GAGTACCTTTTTCTTGGCCACTTTTTTGGACTTGGTTTCTTGTAACATTTCTTCGCTCCAGAGATCGAAGAAAAAACTGGGATCTGAATAAAGTTTCATGCTGATCTTTCCGTCATCACGAAGACAATCTATCGTATGAAAGGCTGGAGGAGGATCTGCATTGGAGTAGCGTATTTCCATCGATGGAGGTAGTGTCGTATGAGCCAAAACTTGACTATCAGATGGCTTATCACTAACGTAAGGCTCCATTGATAAATTTTGTACTCCAACCGATAAGTCTTCATCAAAATTCTTCAGGACATGTATATCTTCATGTAGCTGAACTATTCTACTCTTAAGCTTCATAGTCCTTTCAGCAAGTAAGGATAATTCCGAAGTTAGTTCCTTAAACATATCACCAGCCATTTGACTAATAGATGACATTTGGCGCATCAAATTTGAGAACGTAGCGTTTGCCACGTACTCAAGCTCGTTTTGTACAAAACTCGGGACGCTTACATGACTTATGCGTACAGGCTGGACAGCATATTTCGGGAGAGGCATAATGGATAAATGTATAACCGACTTTAGGAGAGACAAAAGCTTATAACAAAATAATCAAAGCATGAATAATGCAAAGCAATGCAGAATCCCCACGAGGAGAAGTTGAAGGCGAGGAGAATGCGGGTGAAGAACGGAGCGAGGCTGAAAATTAAAAGAAATAGGCACGTCCTGTAGATCCATAAAACAACTTAGTAAATTAAAACCCTAATAAAAAGATAAATTACAATTTAGCAGCATTAATGCATTTGTTTGTAATAATTTTAATTATAAGACGTTTGCGTTAGTATATCAAGTTTTCACAATTGTTTGTCAAATAGATGGGAAATGCTAGATCGAGGCTCTTCTAGTTAACGACAATATTTGTTTCGCAAAATAATACTTTATCAGTCAGAAAATTTAACTGGAGTTGATGGTTACATTAGGTAAAATTATCGCTCTATCACATGCAACAATGTTAAACTGAGTAAAGCTTGTTTTTTAATAAAATATAAATGACTGCACAGGTAAGCTTATGCTTTTATATGCCATTTGTAATTTTATGTGGTCAATTGGTTAAATTCATTCCTTAGTACGAGTTTTCAGTGTTATTAGTAGGTAAGATAAAAATTCAAATCAAGTGAGTGATTCCTTTAGCATCTTGTGTTCTCTGGGATGAAGCTAAATGTATAGTAATTGCTTATGAGATGGAGTAAAAGATTGCAAGAAGACAAAGTTGCTGGGGCCTTTCGTATGATTACGATCTCCTTTCGTTGTATAGAAGTTGTTTGGCCTGGTCTGCGCAACTGAGTATTATTATCAGGTGAACCTAGAGGAACACAAGTTGTTCGGATTCCATAGTGTGCATAATAATTTTCAGACACGGAGCGTGGACTTGGTACATTCCTAGACGTTAGTCAACATCGTAGTCTGCATCATCAATGAGCCTTGCCATTCTTAGCACCACACTACAACTAATCAGATAGACAAGTAAAGTCGATTCTTCGAACAATTGTCTGCTGAAAAATTGTGGTAATTCTTTTCCTGGATCATGAACCAATCCTATATTCTCGTATTACCCTTTCACGATCACAATTTCTTACTTGCTTATTTAAACTTAATTTAGGTCTGCTCCTTTAAGTAGAGTGAGTAAGACCTATTTACATTTCATACTGTTTTCCTCATCGCCTCCACTTTACTGGAAATGTTGATCCAAGTCTGCCCTTTTAGTATGAAATCCTCATCACCCAGGTCCTATCAGCGTCTTCCTCTGGCACTGTAGGATCCGTCTCTTATCTTCCTTGTCCAGGGATTTCACTTAACCATAGCCACACTATCTATTCTACTCGAGGCGTTATGCTTTACTCTCTGCCTTAAGCTTTTGATGACATGTATACTACCGCTTCATTGAGCAGGCCCCCAACTTCTGTATTATAAAGTTGGATGAGAGACCAACTTCAGATTATAGATCCCCTTGTTACCGTTTGACACATGCACAGGATAATTCTTATGGGCCAAACTATACTTTTAGTGACTTGCAAATACGCCTACGACAGAGACGACGGAGTATTGTCACCACTATTTACACCATATAGTGACCCCTTTCGCGTCATATTCAGAGACGACAAACATTTTACTTTATAAATAAAAGGCCATCGTAAAATGGTAAGCATAGACAGACGACGATCCATAAGGCATCCAAATAGCAAAGAACACACAAATCAAATAAATATTGAGTAGAAGAGGAACAATGTCCAGACGTCCTATGCAACTGAGAACAAGTATACATTTTGCATT